ATATAGGATACGACATCGAAAAGAAGAGAAGGAGAAGACACCGAGCCAAGGTCAACGTTTTAAATGCTAAGATGAAGTTTCATGGTTATGCACGATTTGTAAGTTTTGTAGTTTTGGCTATGCTGATTTCGCTCGTCATCTTGAGGGTTCAGAGCATGCAGCAGAGGTTAAGTGGAGAAATGCAGAAATGCCTCCAGGCAAATCAGAGTTTCTTGAATCAGAGTTACCGAATCTACTCGGGGATTGACTTGCCAGACTTGGACTCAGGGATTGACTGTGGGATTGACTCTTGGACTAAGGTGTCGGATTTGGTCGAGCTCGACTCCATGCTGAGAGAAGCTTCTTTGTGGAGAATGCAGAATCTTGTTTGATTACTAAAGGCAAGTTTTTTTTTAATATGGGTTTTAGAATTTTGTTGAAACTGATTCTGGTTTACTGACTTTGTTTGATCCTAAAACAGTAAAATCTCAAGAGTTTGTTGACCTGAAGACAGACTAAGAAGATGAACAAGGTGCATGGCCCATGGGATGTCGTTTACTAAAATGTTATGACTGACATTACTACCACAATCACTGTGTTTAAATGATTGGCTTGGTGTTTAAATGTAGCTTTTAAATGAGAAGATCATATTATCACCTTGCAGTTAAGAACAAAAGACGCATGGGTAAGGTTTTGTTCACAACTACTAAAGAACTATTAGAAAACTAAGAGTTGTGTTTGTTTCTTACTTTAAATGGGTTATAAAGTAACTTTTTAGATATTTGTTCCACCTCCTTAGGCCAAGTAGCACTCCAGTACAAAGTTTGACAGTCTGACCGAATCTGCACATGTTTCAAAAGATTTAAATACAAAGCAAAGCATATACACATATGTAACCGAAGCAGAGGTAAGGAAACAAACATGTGAAGCAATTTTCCGAATTTGAGGGCCAATAATCCAAAACAAGATAATAACCCTTTGCAATGAAGTTGCTTGAAGACATTAGATAAGCAAACTAAATGTAAAGATGTCATTTGTTTTATACTAGTACTAAG